TGTTCGTCGTACTCAAAAGTCACTTATGCTTTCTTTCCATTCCCGCACTGGCAAACTAACTCAACTATATATTTGCTGGTAAATTTATTATTAGTAGTAGTCACACTATTGTCTAAATAAGTTAACTCTAAACTGAATTGAACGCCAAATTTTATTCAAATGAATACTAAATAACTTGGAAAACCACTAAAATTCAACTTTCTGAGCAAATACGGGCAGCGGGGCAACTTTGAAACATTGCTGAAGAAATTTTTAAGCAAACTTTTGAAGCATTCAGCAATTACACATGTCATACATGACCGAATTTTAGTTGGAAGCAGGAATTGCTAAAATTTTTTACGTTCTTGGTCACTTTTGGTATGTTGTTATTGGCTTTTCATGCAAAATTGAGTTTAGTGCTTAAGCCAAGAATCACTAATGGATGTATGTGCCTCATGCATACGTATGCTGTCGCATGCTTCACTTGGCAGTGTTACCAGAAAAAAATTTCGCTTCGAGCTAAATCGATCGAAAAAAGAGCTAAATAATACTAATAGTAGCTAAAATGAAGAGCTAAATTTTTTCTTGAAGTTGAGCATTTATTAAATTAAAGTTGCTTTTATATTTTCCGCAATTTTAATAAAAATAACGAATTTTATAAATTTAAGTTTTGAAAAAAAACTTTTACAACCAAAATAAGGTGCATAAATTTGGAATTCATTGCCACGGCACTTATAACACTTATATGTATGCGTATACTTATATAAAATAGACGATGAACTAAAAACACTTTACAAACTGTTAAAGTCTGCTAGTCTAGTCTAGATATTTTTGAAAAGAGCTAAAACAAGAGAGTTGGAGCTAAATCCCAATTTTCGGAGCTAGATAGGAAAATAAAGAGCTGAATCTAGCTCCAAAAGCACCGAAAATGGCAACACTGTTACTTAGTCAGTGAATATATACGTATATAGGGTACATGAGTGTATTTACATACATGCATACATACCCACCAAACAATTTGTGTTGCCGGTAATAAGAAAACGTGTCGCCCTCGGAAACAAATTTATTGCCGGTAATATTACCATCGAATCGATTTCCTATTACCGGTCGCTCTAAAACGTCCGCCGAAGTCAACTCGCCTGGGCGAGTCGTTTTCTTATTACCTGAATGAGTCCTTTTCTTATCGCTTCAGGCGATATTTGGAATAATTTTATTCTTTTTTAAACCTCATTTATTTTTTTGTATACCAAATTGCAACTTACAATCGGAATTAATTCATTTTCTCGCTGTGAGACTTCCTATTTTTTCAAACTTGTCCTTGGGCCAAATTTAGACGCTTTTGGCCAATACTATTGACGCCATATTCATAAGTTTCGGAATTTTTGAGAACTTTTTTATTCAAAATTGACATGAACGAAGTGATGTTGCCGATTTGTCACCACAGCAATAAATCGGTGAGTCGCCAATTTGTTGCCATTGACGATTGTTGCCTATTTCTCATGTTTTGCATGGTGGGTACATACATATATATATGCCCGTATAAATGTACACATATGTATAGTATATATTAATGAATAAATCGCTCAATGCTGTGCAGAAGCAGAACTAAATAAGACATTTACGAATTTTCCATTAAATTCAGTTCGTAACCGTTGGTTGGCTAAAAGTTTTCTTGTTAAAAGCTTTTGGCCATACAAAAGTTCCTTTGTCATAGCCGTAAGGAAGTTGGACTTTGACTTTTTCAATGCATTTTAGCCGCAATTTAAATGCAATTTTCCAAGTAAATTTAAATACAAAGAACCACAGTTCGCATGTGTGCGTATGTATGTGTGAGTCTAGTAGGTAAATAAACCCTGCAGCAAAATTTAGAGACAGTCTGGCAAAGCGCTAGTTCCAACCTACAAATTTCAGAACTGTCTCTGAACTAAATACTGCAAAAGGGATGCAGAGCTGGACGGTTGAAACTCATGTGGTGCTAGTTGTGCTGTCATCAATGTCACTTCTCTTGGTCATGTGAAATCTGACAAAAGATGCACAAATATACATACCATACTATATTTTTTCGATTTTTTTAGACCCTAAAACTAATAGCAAACTGTTTTCGTTTATTCAGTATGTAATTCCCTAGTTTATGGGGCAACGGCTAAAATATTTCCAAAAAAAAATGGTTATTGGTAACATTAATGTCATTTCTATACATAAAGGTATAAATTTTAATGCAGAATATAACCATAAAATTTAGTTAAGCTAGACTTAACAGCAAAAGTATCCGTGCACTATTTCCTTTTTAAGTATTCACAGTATATTGAGAGCTAAAATTTGTTTGTTATTATTTTATAAAAAAAAAAAATTTATCATGCTTAAGACAAAATCATATAAACCCAGTTTTCAAGCTTTATTCAAAGCAAAGAAAAAATCAACGATTTTCATTAAAATTTTCGACCCGTTAATCAGATAAAAAACTTATCACCGAGTGCAGTGATTATTTTTTATTTTTCAATACTTTTTTTTAATTTTAAATATTTTTCATTAAGTTTTTGTTTAAGCATGGCTCTTATTTCAGAAACCATTTAAATTTTTTGCAAACTTAATAAAACTCTAAAGACAGCCCTCAAATTTCAAATTTTTTAATCAGAGTTTTTTTTATAAATGTTTCGTATATTCAGTTTTGAAATCCATAACATTTTAGTGTAGTAAAGTGTAAACTTGCATCTGAGACGAAAATAATTAAATAGGAAATACCTTCAAGAACGTGCGTAAAATGAGTTATAAAAAATCAAAGCGATCAGTTATACTAAAATTTAATGGGCTATAAAACTGCAAACTTGCGAACTCTGATGTAAAATATTGAAATTTTTATAACAATTTCTAGAATTTTAACAAATTTCCAACACAGTTAGAAACGTGAATTTAAATAAAAAAATAAATTTAAGAAAAATATTTAACATGAAAACCATCGTGAATATCCAAATTATATATATTCTTAATTCGATGCAGGGGAGTCTACGTATTACATTTATTACAATTTAACGATGAGTTATCATTAATAAGCAATCAATATATCGCCGTTTTTCTCATTTTGTCACATGACTTATATATTTAAATATAAGTAACACAGAAATGCCCATTATATGTAACAAATATAAATTGTTTTAAATAATAACGGTTTTAAAATGTTAAGGAATAACCGACACTTTATATTCCTAATTTAAAATCACAGTTTACCTAAAAAAGTAAATTAGTGCAAAACAAATAGCTATTATTTAAAAAATAAAATGAAGTATTTTTTATTTACAAATTGTATGCGTGCTTTTTTAATTACAGTATTTAAAGAAAAGAAACCAGCTCAAAACTAACCACATTTGTTCTAGCTCGGAGGTGACTCTTTTTGATCTATCTAGGAACTGTTGTTTTATGAACTGTCTAAGAACCATCTAAGCCAGAGTCAGCTCAGAACAAGTTCAAAAGTTCTGCAGAGGGCGACAATTGTCACTTCGTAGAACATCGCCATGTTAAAAAAGACAGTTGAAATCATTGATTTGGGATAAATGAAGAACCAGTACTGTCTCTTTTCAGGCTAGGTCAGCGCGAGTTCGGAACCCATTTGGTTTGCTGCTGGGAATGGAAGCACATACACATGTACATATGAACATTAGCGTGGTCCAAAAAAGTAAAGTCGGAATTTTAATAATCTCACCCCCTAGGATGGTTCTATATCGAAAAGAGTATATCGCTATTCGTTTATTTTGAAATCAAAAAATATTTAGAGGTAGCTCAAAGCGCTCAAAGTCGTCTTTGTATGTTATATGGGAAAAAACAAGTTTTCGTAGAAATGGCATAGAATACTTGAAAATCAATATTTTTAGATCGCAAAACTCTGGTCTTTTCAGGAGACTTTCAATAATAATTGTTTATTTAGACATTTTTTTTGCATTTTTCTGGGTTTCTCGGGGTTTTTGGCGGACCTATAAACTATAGTCACTCTGAAAAAACTATTATTATTATTTGGAATTTTTCGCAGATAAACAGAGTTTTCCGATCGAAAAATATTGATTTTTAGGAATTCTATACCATTTCAACGAAAACAAATATACATATATTTATTTTCAATATAAAATACATGGGCGCGTTGAGTGACCTCTAAATATTTCAAAATCAAAAATAGGGGTATATTCCTTTCGGTATAGAACAATTCTATTTAGGGGGAGAGAGCTTAAAAGTGTACTTTTTCACGTGCATTTTTGGACTTCCCTAATGCACATACAAGCGTTTTGGCTTGTGGGTAACACATACAGTGAAACCAGGACGATGAAGAGACGGGTATTAAAAGTTGGAATTTTGGTGCAAAAAGTCAACCAAGTAGTAAAACTAACCAGTCCAGCTTGAAGTCATTTTATCACTAACAGTAGAAATTGGCGCTTAACCTGTCGCTAAAGCTTTCAACGCAAAATGTTAAGAAAAAAATTTACAAAATCACTTTAGGGCAGTTAGTGTGGCAAACAAGAAGAAGAAGAATACGCTTTTTACACTTCGGAATAGTTCAAAGTCGGTTTTGGACTAATTACATCCTTCGAAAACTAACATATGAAGAAACTTTCGTCTGCAACTGCAACGGAGAGGAACTAGTCGAGGGCTAATCAAATTCTACCTTAAAGGACTAGTTCTTTTGCAAGTTTGAGTAAGTTGTTACACCAAGATATGCATTCTACTATTTAGTAGAAATATTCCACTAACGCAATAATAAATCGCTTGTGGCAAATATAAATAGAAGCAACAGCACGGCTAGCCACACAGCCATGCTTTTGTACATGTGCGTGTGTATGTGTGTGTGGGCGTGTGAGTTCGTGTGCATGTCCGTAGCATTCGTGACCTTTTTTCAAGGCAACTCGCTTGCTGGGAATTGACTTAGACTTAACGGTACAATCTCAAACTCAAACTGCCTTTTCAGTTTCCCTTCTTTAATTGCACAAGTTTTTACTGCTGCTGCAACTGAAGCGAAATGAAAGTTCTTCGCAACTTACCAACCACTTGCAAGTGCACTCGGGCGCTAACTTTTGGCTCTGTTGACACTTGACATTCGTAGGCGCCCGCATCTCTTGCTTGTACGTATTTTATTTGCAGCGTCCAAAATTTATCTGGCTGTTTCAGCGCTAGAAATCGTTGGTCTGCAATGAAAACGGCTCTGCAAATACAAAAGAAAAATATGCATGAGAATTTGTTTATTTTTATTTATTAGTATAGGTATGTTAGAAATTAGTGTTTTTTTTTTTTAAATTTACTGTTGATATTTATTATGCATTTATTATTTTCTTATGTAGTGCTATCTACGTATAGCAAATACGAGGTTAATTCACAACGAAGAAATTTCCATTTAAAAGCTTCCTTAAATAATTGGGAAATAGCAACTACAGCCAAACGGCTGCCCATTTCTACACTGAGGGGAAAAAATATTAAAATCAAATAGAAACGTAATTGATCTTACTATAAACGTCAACGAAAGTACTGTATATTGGTAAATATTCAGTTCAATTACGCGCATATTAAAATGACCGCGTTCGTACTGAAAAAGCAGCCGCGAAGTGAATAATCAAGACAAAAACTAAAAAAAAATTTAATTTGCATGTTGCCTGCAGTGGAATTCGAACCCGACCATTTCCGGATATAAACAACTTGTGGCAAGCATCTTTGCGCACTCAGCTACACCCAGGCATATAAATCTGCTTTCAAATGTTGAATATCCAACAACACCACAGCACGCGATTTGTACTATGTATGTAGGTGTGTGTTGTCGCCACTCTCAGAGCGGTGCTCTGCATGCTTGGGGTGCGTATGTACACTTACATATACATACTCAGATGTGAACAGTCAAATACGTGCGTAATAAATTTTGTATGAAAATATTATTTTTAAATACGAACATTTTTAAACGATAATCAAATATAAAGTATTCATTTTTACTATGCATTATTTCCCTCAGTGTATATAACATATTCGGTGTTTTCATGATTCTGTGGGATAATTATTGGTTCTGTGGAGCAGTAAAAGGTCCCTTAAGATTGGTTTGGTTATGTTAATAGTTTCAAAATTTTGGGAGATTCAAACTTAGAATTATTTATTGCGTTAGGTCTGAGCAAAAAGTATTTGATGCGTTTTGGTTAGAAAAAATGCATAACATTTTTTCCACAATAATGAGCATAAATAAAAAATGTGGAAGAAGTTTATGATTATTTTTGGCATTCATCAAAAAGGAGGTAATTTTTTGAAGTTTCATAAACTGTAACTATTATCAACGGCCTTGCTACATTAATAATGTTAAAAGTGTAAATCGGAGTATTTTGTTTCCCATATTTATACCAATGTAATAACATTTCGAATCAAAAACCATTATCAATGCTTGGTACTTTTTTGCTTATGTGGTTCGCTGCTTTTTTATTAAAAATATTTAAAATGTAAACTGTTAAATGAGACTTCATTATAATTGTTCTATTTATTTTATAATAAAAACCACGAGCGTATTATGTTTTTTTTTTTTCATTTTCTTATTTTGAATGAAATATTGCTATTTAAAAATAGAGGTCTTTCCAAATAAAACCATTTTATAATATTTGGGACCAAATTTACTTTTAAATGTCTCATCAGATTTTAGTTAGCGTGTCACCACTGACTTCAACAAATTTTTATTTTAAAATTTCCTATGTATGGCTTATACACACCGCCCTCCGATAAACAGTTAACACCTTAAGAATAAATAAAATTCTGATCACTTTCTTCATGCGTTCTGAAACCTTGTTTTGACAACACCATTTTCGAAATTATGTAAATCTTTTGCTTAAATAAAAATATATTACTTCTGGTGATCAAGTAGCATGAATTTTATGAAATGTCATCATTTTATTAAAAGTCAAATTGTTAACAACAACAACGATGTCATTAAATGGAACCACCTTCTTTTTCTGGAGCTCAATCGGCTCAGTAGTTTTCGACCCTATAAAGTACATACAAAAAGACACTCTCGGCCTTTTGATATTTGTATAAGATAGTAGTAAAAAAACAATATTTTGGTGAAATGTTAAGTTGAATGAACGGAAAATTGAAGAATTTCCTGGAAAAATTGAGAAAAGATTTTCCAACAAGTAGCTGAGGATTTTTTCTGCCGGAAGTTCTGAACTTGAATGAATCACTTGAAATTTAAAATAAAATGAAGAAATTGAATATTCGCCTATCGTTTCTAAAGATAACACAATGTTTTTTTCTAAAGAACACCCAATTTGGCTGCAATTTGACTCAAACATGTATTTATAATTGTACGAGTTCGTTACCACCATGCAAAATATGAGAAATAGGCAACAATCGTTAATGGCAACAAATTGGCAACGCACCGATTTATTGCCATGGTGGCGAATCGGCAACATTATTTTTTTCATGCCAATTTTGGAATAAATTAGTTATCAAAACAACAGTATTATACAAAAGCGTCTTATTTATACCAAAGATAGGATTGAAAAGATAGGAAGACCCATAGCAAAAGAAAGAATTATTCCTGTTTCTAAGCTCCAATTTTGTAAAAATAAATGAAGTATTAAAAAGAATAAAATTATTCCAAATATCGCCTAAAGCGATAAGAAAACGACTCATTCAGGTGATAAAAAAAAAATCGACTCGCCCAGAAAACGGGAGTTAATAGCGTTTCTAGTTTGTGCTATGTATCCGTTTCATTAAGTAATTCAGCATGTGGTGTGTGTGTGCAAGCAATTCAACGCATCTAACACCAGTTTTTTTTTCTTTTTAATGCATTTTCTCTGTAAATTTAATTAAGGTATTATCGGATCTTATGATTGCAACAATAATTTAAATGACCGAAATAACTCTAAATTATTTATTTTGTCCGTTTTAAATCTAAATCTCCGTTTGACAAAGTGAATTACTTTTAGGTAGCTATAAAAAGGTGGCAACCTTTACCGGAAAACACACTCTCATTTAGTTGAAAAATATTTTCTAATTCATAAGCCGGTGCATGTTGTAAATGTCCACAATACAACAATAAAATTTTCAAATTCACCAGAATATTTATGCATATGCAAGACTATATATTCACTGGAGTGTGATTACCTTTAATTATATACATAAGCCATTCAGAATATTTTGTACAAATGCATGCAAATTTTGCCAAGTTAAAAAAAAAGCAGTAAAAGCAATTAAGGCTAGCTGAAAGTAAATGAGATTATAAACTCCAAGAAATGCACGCTTTTGATTAAAGGACTTTATTATTTAAATAATTTTCCTACTTTGAAAACGTCCTACGCAAAAATATTCATCTTTTCAAGACGATTTCTGGTTTTATCATGTAAATATGAGTAGTGGGATTTTGTTTTTGCATATAATTCGAATTAGGTTGAGTTCTGAACCATAGTGCGACGCGACGAGTTTACAAGCGGTATGTACATACATACCTATGTACGTGCACACGCATTGGCATTTTCTGCGTTACACTCGCTCCATTTGAATACACTTTTTTCGGCATAACATCGTGAAGGAATCGATACAGATATAAACACATCTATGTACATTAGTATATAAGAATATTCAAAATGAAAAGAGAAATCGATTTTTCCATATCTGTCTGTCCATTCATCCGTTTGTGCACACGATAACTCAGTTGGAAATCACAATATCACACGTATTTCTCTTGGCTTAAAATATTGCAAATCGGAAAATACCAACAACTACCACCCTTCTTCATAGGCGCATTAAACCCTAAACTGATTCTAGTCGAGTCCAATAGAGCACGTCAGTCGTTTTTTTTCGGTGCCAGATGACGCCAATTGGAAATTCCAAGTGAAGCCAAGTCCTTCTCCTCCTGGTCTTTCCATTTCAGAAGGGGCCTTCATATCCCTCTGTTACCAGCATCGCCATCCGCGTAATATATTGGCGAATGGTTCCGTGTTCATAATTGGCTAAGACGTGTCTTTTGCATCCTAATTCAAGCAGCTTACGACTTCTGGTGCACTGAGGGAAAAAAATATTAAAATCAAATAGAAACGTAATTGATCTTACTATAAACGTCAACGAAAGTACTGTATATTGGTAAATATTCAATTCAATTACGCGCATATTAAAATGATCGCGTTAATTCGCATCCGCGAAGTGAATATTCAAGACAAAAACTAAAAAAAAAATTTAGTTTGCATGTTACCTGCAGTGGAATTCGAACCCGACCATTTCCGGATATCTACAACTTGCGGCAAGCATCTTTGCGCACTCAGCTACACCCAGGCATATAAATTTGCTTTCAAATGTTGAATATCCAACAACACCACAGCACGCGATTTGTACTATGTATGTAGGTGTGTGTTGTCGCCACTCTCAGAGCGGTGCTCTGCATGCTTGGGGTGCGTATGTACACTTACATATACATACTCAGATGTGAACAGTCAAATACGTGCGTAATAAATTTTGTATGAAAATATTATTTTTAAATACAAAAATTTTTAAACGATAATCAAATATAAAGTATTCATTTTTACTATGCATTATTTCCCTCAGTGTGGTTACACCAATTATACTCTGGGTAATTGAGAAAAGGCCCCGAACACCTATCTCCTAGATAACGGCGACTTATACAAATAAAGTGACTGCAGTTAATTCAAATTGGGATTTAGAGAAGAAATAAGACTATTTATTATAAATTTTGGTCATCTCTTTCACTGCTTTATCAATTTTCTCCAAACTCGTAAAAATTGTTGATTCAAGTCCAACTTTATATTCGGGTGATAAATGAAAAACATGCGAAGAAAACTTGATTTCAGCCTCCAAATCTTCTCAAAGTATATTCCCAAAGTGGGGTTAGGGGGGTGGTTGATTGCATCCCAAACTTGTTACAACATACACATACCCAAATTTTATTCGATTTGCATGAACATAGAAAATGTGGTTATATTACCGACAAAACTCTCACGAAAATATCAAGCTATGTTCTTGTGGACTTCTCGTTTTGCCGTTGCAAGAGTTCAGAAATTACTATAAAAATTGTTGAGAGAATTTGAGCATGTACAAGAAAGTATCAAAAGTATTAAAAGTAAAACACAAAAATTAACCGAATTGGAAATGCATAGGTATGTAGGTATGGTGGCCAGCAAGCAAAAAACACCATAGTAGCTACTGGAGAAGCATGCGAATCACTTT